AATATTTTTAATGATGATGAATTGTATTTCAAAACTAGTTTTACATAATTAGACAGATGAAGGTATGAGTCAAGTATTGGACGGATTTAGACTATACATGGTTGAATATGTCAAGTAATATAAAGAATAGTATCTACTCATAAACTTATGTTAAGCCCAACCATTTAACTTGAATGTTAGTGAAAATTAGACATTAACACTATTGGAAGCCGGCTCAGTGGTCTAAAGGCTAAGCGTTCGTGCGCGAGAACGATAGGTCTGGGTTCGAAACTCACACAGCGAGATCGTGGATGCGCACTGCTGAGGAGAACAACAATAGGACAAAACGACCGTCCAGTGTTTCCAGGTATTCCATGGTCCTCTAGCTTCGATTGACTCGTGAACTCAATTACTGAAATTAAGCATTTACATATGCAGAACATCGGCGATATATATCTGCACATAAACACAATTAGTCAGCAGATGCAAAATATAATAATAGTCTAAACATCTTACTCGTATGGTGAAATAAAACTAGCGCCAAATCTTACAAATAAATAAATATATATATATATATATATATATATATATATATATATATGCATAAAACAATTACGAAATTCGGAAGACAAGGTAACACAAAATTTTTATTAAGACGAACAACATTTTCAAATCCAAGTTTATGAAGATATCTCTTAAACTATCTGAATCTAACAATTCTACAACTATTATCTCTGACACTATATGTATATTGTTATCATGATCATGAGTTAAACATGGAAAATTATTGGGAAAACATAATATATTGTATATATTCAATGTCCAATAACCCAGTTAGTGGTTATATTGTGTATTGCCTATTATATTTACATTTTTCTATTTAATTATTAGATGTTTAGAAATGAATTTCAAAAATCCAGCTAAATGATGTCTGATTACAATAACGTACAAAGAAAATAACAGTAAAACTTTATTTTTTATGCGTAAATACTACTTATTAAAATTTTATTTATTTATTTTAACACATAAGTATAGGTACAGGGAGGCACCAAGTACATATGCGCCACACGAATCTCAATTGATTATTATTAAAAAGTCTAATAGAATCTGTTGACATAAGGGAAATTAAAATTTTAACTGTTTTATCATCAAGAGAAATATAATATGAATATTGTTGGACGTGAAAAATCTACACATCATGAAAGAATATCAAACAAAAAATATTTTGAAGCTAATTTTCGATTGCTTTTGAAAATGAAAAAAACTACCCGACTGCTTAATGAGACTATGATTTCCTCAATAAGCGATTACATCGAATTAATGGTAACAGGCACGAAAAAAGGGGAAGAATCCTCATTTTTACTTATGGTATACATCTATTTGCTCACCAGAATCAAACCTCAGGCCACATGGCTATTGGGTTTTGAAGTGAATTGTGAATTCACAGCGCATAGATACCCTAAATAATGATGAAACAATTTTTCTACTATTTTGTAATCGAAAACATGGCATATTTAAACTGGGTAACGTGAAGGTTTTAAACAGCTACGCTAGATATCGTGTTAGTTTTCCATGTAAATTTATAATCAAATCAGGAGCGACAGATCACTACTAGACAACTAAAAACATATTCTCGTGAAAACACCTAATTTCCTTCTTGAAAAATGAAACGGAAACAAGACTACTTAAAAATATGCATACACTTGATATAAACATAAAGTTAGATGATGTATTTAAATATGATTGAAATTGATTTGCCAAAATACTTTGCTTGTATCATCCACAACTTTTCTCAAAAGTATCCAGCTTAAACATCGGGCGAGTCAACATGATAAACTCATGTTGATTCGATGTTATAATGCAATTTCATTATAACTGGTTTGAGTATTTATTACATTGTTTAGTTCACAAAAGCAGATCAAAAGTAATTGTCTTGACATCTACTTCTTTAATTCACTTTTTGATATGTAAAGAATTTTATCGCCATGAAATTTACTTTTTTCATCTATTATATTTCTTTCAAATTCGCTTCTTGTATATATCTATAAAGCTTCTAGTACAAAAACCGTATATAACTTGTATTCATCCTACAAGAGGCATGCAGAAAGAAAAATAGGATGAATGATACCTATATCCACTACTTATTAATAATGACACATAATAAAGAAATTAACCATTTGGGAAGATGGCTGTGACTTTAGAGTACATATGTAATGATATTGTTTTTGGACAAATATAATATAAAAAGCAATATCTGTGAGTTGATTCCATAGCTAAGTTATGGCATTTCAAAAACGGTTCCAACATCCACGAGAGTATAATTCCTCACCAAATTACTAGTCAGCACATAACCTAGTTCTGAAACTTTCTTCGTATAGCTTCTTACCATTTAGTAACCGACAAAATCCATTGTAGTATTTAGTACATTAGAGTAGTATGTGTGAATGGTATTAAGATAATCATCCTGTATTTAATGTCCAATGAAAATGGGAAAAGCTAGCATTTTTTTCGTTCATTTAGTGTCAGTGCGGTATGTAAGTGCAATTTCCACTAGGAGCATCATTTAATCTAGTAAAGCTACCCAATTGTCGTTTGTAAACACATTATTGTAGTACATCCCAACTTACCGAATGAAAAAAGCCAATAAACTGAAAATTAGAGTTTGAAATGAAAATTATACCATTACATATGGCATTCATTCATTAAACAAAAGTAAAAATCCTAAACATAACACACGTGTTAAACAATGAGAAGCAGATGAGCTAAAACTTTAAAGATACTTATCCTACTCCTCACGATCCAGACTTGAATGTCGAAATCGATCAGGGCTAAATATTGGATGAAATGACATAGGTTACTAGTCACTTACAGATTATTGTAAGCCATAGCTATCGATTATGTGGCTTTTGTACATATGCAGGTTGAGCTATAGGAAATTTTAGAGATTTCAGTCAATTCTATCAGTCTGTTTTTAAAATTTTCAGGGACTAAATCCCGGAAATTTACAATAAAATATTTCTTCAATTAAAACCTGAAAAGAGTTGAATGAATTCTAAACTGGTGTGGAAACAGAAAGAAATATTAAGTAACTGATGGGCTATTTTGACAATGGCTTTGAAAATGTCTTTCTGAGATTAGTCAAGGCAGTGAAGATATATGAACAATAAATTCTAGCCAAATTTAAGATGTACCTAGCACAGACCAGCTCTCTTTGGAGCACAATAAATGTCAGAGTCAAAAAATCACTATCATGCTGTTACTAGAAATATCCAATAATTTGATTAAATGGTTATGTCTAACTCAGTTAAACAGGTTATTGAATTACAAACATAATTTGTTATTCGAATACAAATGTCGTAGTAAAATTATTTAGAATAGCCTAAATGAAATAAGACAACATGAAATAAAACATACGAATTAGTTCAAATGTTGTAAAAAAATCACCGTAAGCAATTTTCTACAATTAAAATGCTATTTTTCTGAATAACATGATAATGTTATCTTTGAAGGAAAATCAGCTTCTCTAGTAACCTTTTATTTCAGGAAAAAAATATTTTACGTGTAAACAATGTCCCGGTTTACAGTTATAGCGGTGGTGGTGAGGTCATTTATACTTATGGTATACATCGAACCAGATTGAAAACATAATATACATAAGCAATTACTAAAAAAACAAACTATGATTAAGTCATAGAAACTAAACGTTATACACTACACTTTGTGATTACATTTTTCTGATTATACTGTTAGATTTCTTGGCATTCACTTCTTTAATAATCAACAATTTTTAAATACATTCAATGAACGATAACCAAAACAATAGAGGATGAAATAGCATCATCAAAAATAATAAGTCTAAACAAACCATCGAGTTATAAATGTTAATGTTTAGCTTATGCACTGAAATATAGCAATATTTATAAATGAAATAAATGTATGAATAATCTGTTGCATTAAGCAAAACATCATTTCTATTCAAAAGATTGAACATGAAAATATCTCATCAAAATAAATTTCATATTGTAAATGATTTTTGAGACTTACAGCATAAAATAAATGTTACTTATTTATATTCAACTATATAATCATATTTTCTGAAAGTGATAAACTACTACTATCTCGTCTGATCAACATGGAAGTTGCTAAAGTGAAACTGAAAGTATTGATTATCTTACATTTTGGAGACTTTCTCTCCTACCAAATGTACATGATTTATCCAAATAAAATCATATAAATTCGTAAAAGTAATAAATAACTCATAATTAAGCCTTGAACATTCGAAGTAACATCAGTATTTTATTACAGTAGTTTCGAAAATGGAACTGTGAGGAACACTTGTACATAAAACACACATACAATGCAGTTGACTGAACCAAAAAAAATGTTGAAAGGTGTAATCTAATGATGAAGACATCCCAAATTTCAAACTCTCGATCGCGTCATAAGCCATTAGGCGCATTTTCGTCCTCATATACAACATAAATTACTAAGAAGATGTGATACGATGCCATAGAGTCCTCGTGAATTTTCGGATGCCAGTTCAGTCAAGAACAATTGATTGATCCATGGTTATATGACTTACATAACACTTTTAGAAGACTGTTTGTTGTATGAATAACCCCCACGTATTAATATTAGGACGATGTAGATCAATTGTTCAAGTATTCTAAATTAACAATTGAGCGACATATATGAACTGCACTCTACATGAAAATTTCTAGTCATATAGAATCACTGCTAGTTATTCAGTTAGTACAACTAATATCCTAAAAATTATAAGTCAAATGTGATCTTACTTGTTAACTCCCTAACTGATTAGTATCCCGGTAGTGATCACATAAATATTTACAAACCTAATTTATTTATTGTTTTATCAAAGAATCTGTATTCAAAATGAACATTCAAAACGTACCATAAGAAAGCTTAAAATTCAAAGAAATCAGCACTTATTAACAAATGTAAAGTTTATCCTTTGTGACAAATAATTCTTATAGATTAAAAAAAAACTTATTTGATAGCATATCTCATGTAAACAGTCATTACTGAAACACAACTTATTTCACAGTATTTCATGAGGTGTAATACATAGCCTGCAGTAATTATTTGAATTAAGAAATCAGTACTACATTTTCATGAAACGTATACAATATATTTATCAATGATAAACAGATGTAAAGTTTTTATTTAAAAACATCAGACTCTTTTCTCTATTTAAGTCAAAAGCTGAATGCTTCTCAGAAGCTTTAAACAAAAGTTGATGTGTCTTCTTAAAAATTTCAGTATGTCGTTCACATTGATCAGGAGCAAATGAATGAATACATATAAACAGAGTAACAGACAAAAAACTATAATCGTAGATGTTAACGACAATATACTAGCGTAACATGTGTACAAAATACATAGATTATTCATAAAGTAAAAAATTAACTGACGTAAGTAATTCTCCTCAAATTATTTCTAGGTAGTATATCAAAACTATGGAATAGATCAAAACCACCGTGCACTGGTGCGACTCATAGGTTTCTTCAAATAGCACCTTGGATTATATTAAACCAACTATTACAGAAACATGAATCAAACTGAGTTAAGGGCATTTAATATTTTGGCTTAAAATAAAACCTTATCTAAATTCAATTTGTGCTTTAATTATAACGTAGAAAAATGGATCCTAATTTTTCCAAACTTCAGAAGTAATATATGCATAAATATCTTGATAACAGAAATCTAATTTCAAAAATTTAACAGAATAATAAACTTAGCTAACTGACATATATGACTGAAAACACCATGCGCAAACCATCGAACCGACTATTAAGGAAATTTTCATGTTTAAATAACACCACAGTCAAAATTTATATTCATATGCAAGTGTGAGTCAATACAACAAATCATTAATATGCAATATTGACTGAGCACCACAGTAAAATCAAATTCTAATCCGACTGTTTCTTTTTCGGTTTCCTCTTTCGTTTCTTCTTAGAATCAGTTGGTTCTGGAGTATTTGATTGTAAACTCACAGACTCATTATCAATTGTATCCTTATTTTCAACTTCAAGATCATTTTTATCTTCTACAGAATCTTCGACAGGATGAACAACAGCACATTTTTTGTCACAGACATCTTTTTCAACGTGATTATTTGTGGTGACTAAACTTAGTGTATTTAACGTATCTTCAATTCGTTTTTGAACTTCAGATATCTGAGAAATAGCATTAACGAGACCAGATTCTGTGGCTCCAGTTAAAACACTTATTCTTTCATTTAGCTGATTGAACGATGTTTCATCGTGAAATTTTGTATTGGATGAATTGTGAATTGTCTCTGGTACATCATCAATGCTGAAAGGTATTTTATCCTCATGTCCTTTGAACGGTATAAACTTCTGATATTCTAATACGACAAGTTAAATGAAAAAGTACGCAAATAGATCATATGAATGGGACAAAAATAATTAATTTATAATAGTTGCAACTGTCAGTGAATCAACACTAACTAAAGAACAGAAGCATTTACAATTTGCACATATAAGAATATATCGTGAGATGTTCTGATCTGAAAAGGAATACAACACTAACGATAAGCGGATATGCTTTATAGCGCATTTAGCCACTTACAGACACCAAATAGCGAGTATTGCAGCTTCAAGGAGAGAAATACAAAAGTGAAAAGCTGTATTTATGGTCTACCTGGAACTTCGTAATTCTAGGTTTCTTAAAAACATCCTATCAGTCAATGTTTTATTGCTTAAGCAGCTTATTGGCAAAAATGTTTGGACTTTGAATTATACAAACAAAAACGATTGTTCGAACTACGATAACGACGGACAATACATGAATTAGATTGTCAGAAAATCAACTATACCCAATGAGATTCATTGTATGGTTGGTATGGAGTATTCAGTAGTATTGTGGTGTGTGCTACTTATGTAGACATAAGTAGTATATGACGCGATTTTTAAACGTAATGTCTGGCAGCAGAAGATGAAGAAAGATCGAGAAAGGAAGAGCGGGAACACAATGGAATTTGTATGGAAACTCATGAACAATGAAATGTCAGACAATCGATTGATGTTTGCAACAGGAACAGTCCAGTTTGATATGATGGATTATTATTTTGCGAATTAACGATTCACTATATGGTTGTTAGATTTTATTAACAAGTGCTGTAATTTGTTGTCAAATACATTCGATTGTCCCCAATGGTGTTTTTGTTCACTACATTTGGTGTGGCTGTCGCAAACAAGTACGGAACTGCCATAGCGCTCTACAAATGATAATGAGCAGCTTACTTTATACATATAATTTAGAAGATTTCGATTTGGGAGTAATTTTTGATCGTGAACTGACAGTAACTTGAGAAGCACTGGAAAATAGCGTTAGGTAGTTGTTTTACTTAGGTTTAACACTTGTCAGTAGTGAGCATTAGGGATTATAAACGAGGTCGATCCTGGACCGACACATATTACCCAACAGGGAAAGTGCTATTAGATTACTAAGTCTCGAATCAATTGATGCACGTTCAGGGGATGTGTTTTATTTCATATTATTGTGTCATTTATCATTCTTATAATTAAGATCAATTTTTCTGCTTTTTTATGTCACACCTATATAATTGTACATTACTTGCCACCTTTTGTCAAGTCTGTAGCAAGACTGAAATTCTTACAATACTGTTTTACGCGTACTATTAGTCTTACCATTTCGCTTTTTAGAGTCGCAGAATCACAACTTTGTTTCGCTAGGCTTCAGTATTATTTTGTGCAAAATCGTGAAACTTTACTAAGATGAGTTTTATCACTCTAGTCCACACTTACTGATGTGTGGGTGAGAATGATTGGTTGTTTGCTTAGTCAGAATTGTAGATAGTCTGACAGGCGTTATATATTCTCCTATCCTTATTATTATTATTGATTGTTGTTGGATTGTATCGGGTTGTTGTCAGTTTTTGGTGTGGAAATATACTTACGTTCAAGTCAAGTTAATCACGTGTTCTTGACCTGAGTTGTGTTGAAGTCCTGCAGCATAAACACTGGGAGCGAATCTAGTGTAGATATTCGTCTAAGGCAAATTAACGTTCCATTCGTAAAGACGAAATAAACCCGAGTGTTACAACACATACCAGATGAAATAGCTGAACGGAAGCAAGATGTGGTACTCATAATATAAATGAAAACGTCATACGATGACTTGGAACAGACAGTCATAAAAGAGGTATCCAAGACGTTATCGACCAACTACTTATCCAGGTATGAATAGGAGATAGAGTCATCATAGGAAAAAGTGATCACAAGTGAAGTTTGCTGGGAAGTGAGAAAGTAAATGGTAGTTCATTCGACAGATTATGGTCATGTAAATTGCCGCAAACTATACAGCAGACTCTAGAGTTCAGTGACAGCGACACTGACAAGCTAGCGAGAATATCCGATAGAACACACAAAAGATTATATTAAACGACCCACCATGTACATAACGTGTCTTTAACTGAAAAAGTCCACGGATTAAAGAAGAGAACAGAATTGTTATACGAGGGAATATATGCTTTGAAAATAAGAGGGAGGTTACTAATATGTTTATTGTGTAATAAATAATTATTTCATGCGATTGTTACGATAGTTAATACTGATATATTGTCACAGTATTTATGAAACAAGATACGTAATAATCCACCCTGATGGTCAGTAGGTATAATCGCAAATTAGTGACAAACAAATTATTTTGTAGGCGGTTACGTCGTAGGCTGTGGTAAGTTCATACGTTGGTTCGCCACTTGTTAATCAGTGTTATATGACTCTGGTTATAAAACCCGAAGTAATAACTAGTTTTAGTTTACCACGAAGCGTTCGAAAGCAGATACGAAATCAGATAGAAGTTACTTCATTGAAAACGTAACAGCTCAACAGCCAAGCGTAAATCAACCAAACCATGAAACAGGAGAGGATATATATAAGAATGAATATGCATATATGTATGAATCACGAAATATTGATGGAGTACATTTAGAACCAATAAGAAAGTAAATAATAGACACTTTCAAATACACAAACACATGAGAATATACGATTAAATGTGAGTAAAGTGATTGATGGAGAGATGATATATTTAATTATTTACTGAAATAATTTGATAAAATTAACGGCATAAACTGGCTAATTACACCATCATCTCACTTCATATATACACAACATCGCAATGATTCGGATATTAGATACGTTTCATTTATTATGAATGAAAACCTTCATGTATTTAATAGTCTATCAAAAACACTAATCTTCAGTAAGGGGTGATTACAGTTTAAGACTATGAACACTAAGTGGAAGGTCAATGGTTTTAGTGACCAACTTTCGATTACTTAAAACAAAATTTCAGAGTACTTCGACTCCAGTACTCTGGTGGTAACACCAACACTCAAAAAATGTGACTTAAAACCTTACACATAAGTGGATAGTTTAGTTACTGAATTGAACGAATTAATTATTACAAACATTGAAGAAAACTCATTATGAAAGCATCATGCATAACCTGTAATCATAAGCATAGAATGAATTTTTTAAAAATGGATTATAGCCCACTAAAAAATATTTCCATCAATAACAAAAAAGTACACTAACTTTTGGGCATGAATGATTTTAGAACATCAGGTACAATAATTCCATGTTCTGTTTGATAATTCTCTAGAATCGCACAAATAACTCGAGTGGTCGCACACATCGTTGCATTGAGCATATGTACATATTCAACCTAGGTCATTGTATACATCAGTTAGTCCATGAATAAAACAATAATGAGAACTTTCAAACAAGCGTAATAATTATTTAAAAAAGAGACTCTTGATCCAAGCAGTAATTTAAGATAATTATCATGATTTAAGTCAAAGTTGCATTATGTTATTATCTTTTGAAAGTTAAACAAACAGTAAAATGTGTAAACTCACAAAAACACAATCAACTTGATTGGGTTCATATTCCAATACTATCCCCTAATGTTTTTATTAGCCTTATTATTACAAGACTTATCTAATGTAAGTGTTTTTCGACGGTATATTGAGACATTACTTTTCGTATTTAGACAATAACAAAATGAATAATAACAATTTGCCAGCTAAATACAAATATGTACTTTAATTGAGCAATTAACTTGCCTCGAAAAAGTTTACATATGTACAAAGATAAGTGACAGACTGAGTGAAATATTACAAAACTTAAATTCATTATGACTACAAATACAATTGGCTGAGTTTGTTACAGACACAATCATCACAAAATGCATCGATAATTATACCAAACAAGGTAAACACGACATTAAGCAACTTGAAGAACACGAAAAAAATACTACTTACACTTTTATTCATTTTTTTTGTTTGACCGAAACGAATTGCTAACCGTCGAGATTGATAGTCCAAACAATTACTACAAGATACGAGTTCCCTGAAAGCTCCAGACCCAGGGAACCAACCTTCCAAATCATACTTCATTGATGCAGCATTGTTTAGCTCACCCGATACAATGGAAACAACACGATAAGGCAACTTCAGAGCCTGTAAACAAAAAAAGGAAGCTTTATTGACAGATTTGAATCTTTTGAGGAATATATAGCATCGCCCTGTAAATTGAAATGTATTCATTTGTTGCTTGATTTGTTTCATTTTTGAAAATAAGAGCCAGTAACTCAAATAAAAATTTTAATCAGCAAATATTTGATAGATTAAAAACATCATACTTTATTTAAATAATTTATTACGCTTGTCTCTTTAAAGTTCATTTACCAAATGACATTCTTCATTTACGATAAAAATAAATGGTTATTTCACATTCATTTATTTGATATCATAGAACGACTGATATTAAGAGGAATAAACAGGAACTTAATGAAATGTTTTAAAATTATGGTCTTTAGTCAAATTATCTCTAAAAGTCTTTATATTCGTTGCGAAGGATGAAAGCTATTCAAAAACTTTTTTTCGGAATAAGCAAACAATGTACTGAATTTTACAGAATAGACAACAAAAGTGAAATAAAATTCTTCTTTATAATTTCCACTAAATAATTCACAAGTCATGAGATAAGATGTTTACTCGGTTTAACCAAATTGGAATGTTTACAACAGTTTACGTTCCGACTTTATTCCATGAATAGAAAAAGATTATGAGCAAAGATGGATAGTGGCTAGCAGTGGAATCCAGGACGCGCGTTTCATCCTATTTGGGACTCGTCAGCTGGATGTACCTGCATCTCAGAGTTGATGTTCACTCTGCGACTCGAACCCATTATCGTCCGCTTCAAACGCCATCGCGTTATCCACTTAGCTACTGAGTCCTGATAGCCACTTGCTTGTGCAATGGGGTGAAGTTTAATTCACTTGATATTGTTTCACTTGAATCTTCCCATTGATGTTTAGGACTGCAATTGATCAGTCTCTCATATTGGCATATGTGCATACTGTGCGTATTGCCTCGATATTGCCTTAATTTACAAGCATTATAAGCAAAGATGGATAGTGGCTAGCAGTGGAATCCAGGACGCGCGTATCGTCCTATTTGGGACTCGTCAGCTGGATGTACCTGCACCTCAGAGTTGATGTTCACTCTGCTTGTAAATTAAGGCAATATCGAGGCAATACGCACAGTATGCACATATGCCAATATGAGAGACTGATCAATTGCAGTCCTAAACATCAATGGGAAGATTCAAGTAAAACAATATCAAGAGAAAAGATTATGGTTAGAACAATAAATTCTGAGCAAAAGTTACCAGAAGCTGATGTCAATTTTCGAGAGTAGGGAGAGTAATTGAATGTAACAAAACATTAATGGTAATCTATTATTTAAAAGCAGTAAACTAACCTGATGAAATGCTTCAGCGTTAGAAATCATATGATCAAACATCTCCCATGACAGATTATCGTGCGGACTAGTAATGCAAAACTGTTCAACCTACCATTTGAAAAAAAAGAGTATTTACAATGTAAACCAGAGTTGTCAACTAATTCTTACCACGTGGCATAAAATAAAAAGTCTATGCTATTTATATATAATGTCTACTCCGTAGAAAATAAAACCGTCTCTTGGTCAATCATATGGACTTGTCCTTAGATTTTTGATTGGTTTGACGTAACCCTTCCATTTGGTGACTTGATTGGTACACTATACCAGGTATAATGACACTACTAGTCTTTCTTAAAACTCAATAACAATTACACTTTATAAACAATCTTTGACATTAGTCTTATGGTACTAGAAATGAAAATCCAAAAATGGAGTCTTTCAACGTTAATCAGTCAAATTACACGGTTATGAATGCCATATTCCAGTAACATCGAGTAAATTTGTAATATCCAATCACTTATAATTCTGCAAACATATGTATACGACAATGAACGAGAGCAGTATTTTGTATTGAAGAAAATTTGTAGCTCATGTGGATTACTTCGAGGTTTGCTCCACTTCAGAAAGAAGAATGGAAGTATTTCTGAGAAGTAGGTAGTAGTAGTAGTCAGCAAATTTAACGTTACAAGTAAGTGATTGAAAGATAACAGAAATAAATTTAGTTATACGACACTAGTAAATGTCGTTTAAGTTAACTGATAGTATGTAAACTTGCAACCAAAAATTAAAGCTTAAACAATTAATCTCCACGCTAAATAATATTCTACGTGAATTAACCGCAATAAAATGACTATATTCAAACACAATCGACATACTTTTTCGAACTGATGAACACGAAATATTCCGCGAGTATCACGACCATGACTACCAACTTCTTGTCTGAAACAAGTCGAGATCCCTGCATACTTAATCGGTAATTGATCAATGGGTAACCATTCATCTTGATGAAATGCAGCGATTGGTTGTTCGGATGTTGCAATCAAATATTTCTCTTCCTCTTCATTTTCATTTGCTTGTGAATCATGATTGGTTGTGGCGTTGAGTTCACGACGGCCAGTAACCTGGAGAAGTAGAAATAAGTGTAAATTTAGTTAAATCTAATAATTACATGCACGGAAAAATAACCACGTTTAATATATGCAGGATGGGATAGCAAATACAGTAAATCCATTTCAACTCAACCATGTGGCTTAATAGCTCGACGGCACGTGTCCAGATCACTAAACCACTCAATTAAATTCATATGGCAAATAACTGACAGTGTAGTACCGTTGAAATATAATCCAGACTTCATCATACTGCTAAATACTAATATATGATGGAGACAAAACTCACATGACCAAGGACCATCAAGATGAATTGGAAAAATAGAAATGTATGATTCAAATGCGTTATCGTGTTTCCTTTAGTCACCAATTATCATACCTGATATTTCTACATACTCATATCACTTGGCGATGTGGGCATTAACTCAAAAATTTAATACCAATGGTGTGACACTACGAGATTACAACATTAAGCAAAGAACTAAGAAAAACAACTGATATCTCTAATGAATTAATAATAGTGGATTCTGGGATTATAATAGTATCAATATAATTTAGCAATCAAGTATCGGTTATTATAGTGGACGTTAAGCTATAAACACTTTTAGTGTAGAACCTAACAATAGTATCAGGCTATGCAAACAAAAGTAGGTGGGGCTAGACTTGAAAGAGTAACCTAACGGCTGAAATACGAGTCATTTAATCACTAATCTACTGTCAAAATGCAGCTCCCAACAATTTCTAATCTGATTAGACTATTGAACATAACTCAGGTATCATATGACGTGAAGCTTTCTTATAGAGTTAAGATTGATTAACGAATAGAACTAGCTGTATAAAACTCAGAAAACTATAATTAATTATTGTGAACTAGAGTTTTAATAAGAATTTAGAATGATTCATTGCACTTATTGAACGTAACTAAAATTATGGATTAGATAAATGAAAGTTAACTTATTTTCATTGTTAAACACAACAACAAAAATTCATATTACGGTGCAATCTGAAGACGTACTTTGTATAATTCTTCGTCAAATTGACTTAATTGAGCGACTGCTCGCATAACCTCCTTGCGCATAAAAAATGGAGTGTACAGTGGCGTATAACCACGTTCATCTAGCATTCGTAGTGCCAAGTTTATGATTGCTTGTTCCAGGAAAACAAGCGGCCCCTGTAAAAAGAGCAGCGTAAAAGTTGATAGTCTTTATGTAAATATAACTGAATCACTAAAAAAGCCAGTATAAATTCGGGTAAAAAAGGTAAATTTAAATATCTTGTTAGATGAAAGACTATGGGAAAATAGGAGTAAAACATAAATAATGACAACGCCATAAAATGCTGTGAAACCCTGTTTCCATAATGCTTCTAATTTAATTTGTGTTGGGGAAAACATTTGGTAGACGTCTTATTTTTGTGATTTTATTTTGAAAAAGCTGGATCTCTCATTTTCGCACCAAAAGCGCCTATTTTCACCTTCATGAGTATTTCCCACTTGAAAGGACCTTAAATGTTATTGGTTCATGCCCTCTTTTAATGTGCCATTCTGTGATGTTTCGCAAAGACACTTTTATGCTATATATATACGCTAAAGGTGTGTGGTTATCGTTTTTCGTGCTTCTGGCCGCTTGTGGAATATAACTTTCCTTCATTTGAACAGGGTCTTCTCTCTCTAAGTTAGCAGAGCTGAAACGCATCAGAATAGTTAAACTTGTTTTGTCGTTGTGTCGCTGATTCTTCGTTCCGTTCGCCGAATTTAGGTGATCTCGTAATCTCTTCAAACATAGCAACTTTTGAATGAGTCAAATAGGAGTTAGTAAACACAAGGATAAAAAACAATTATGAAACCAAAGTTTACGATTTTTCTTCCACAGATGATCCCAGGGATAAAGATGTTAGGAACAACCGTAATTACTTGAAATATTCAGTATTAAACATTATAAAAATGTTACTGAATCAACGAAGGCCAATAGTAATTTAATACAAATATTACAGAGTTCTGGATTAGTGTTTGATTTGGTTGAGTGATTGACTAAGTGAATTTATATAAAGTGTTCCGAGAGATAACTTACGGAAAGCTAAATTATTGACTTAATGAACCCGAACAAGCTGATATCAAAAAATAGTGTTAGAGTATCTTAATTTTGTCTAGAAACTCAGAAATCTTCATGTTTTAACCAATTACCAGAGGAAAAACAGCACTTAAAATCACGTTTCTGTGTTTAAAATTACTGATTGAAATCAATAAACTAAATTGTAACACATTTGCTGGGAAACTGAACGGCGGATATAAGTATACACAGTTGAAACAATGAGCTTTCGACACAAAAGGTGGCTAATGTTAATTCATGTATTTGGTGCCGAACGTAGAAACAGAACTATACGGTTTGCTAGAGTAGTGTTTCGTAGATAATCTTGAAACACTTAAACAGCTTAATTAATCTAATGCCACTACCACTCCTAACAAGGGTTAGATTTTCATAGCTAATAATAGTAAGTTTAAAAACTAAAAACAACGGAGGCATAATTTCAAAAATCAGTCTTCATTATGAAATAAAGCACAACCAGTGAGGAAATGAACACTAAGGTCAAAAATAAAATTCAATATTTAGTGCCTATTCATTTTTGCTTGTGGACCCTTAAGTACACCAGTTTTGAGTGATAAAACCTCGGAACACTCAAAAATTTGTTTATGGCAATTTTATATGATTAAATAACTCGTTCAAATTTTGGGATTATGTGCACTACTAGATAATCATATGAGACTGGTGTATACAACAACAAAGAATCAATGACTTATTAATAATAACTTTCAGGTACAAAAACTCTAACACCCGATAGGTTAAAACCATTTAGTAAGATATCAATAACGTGCAACCCAATCCATCAAGATTTGGAAAATTGCATATGCGTACTAACCTTTAGGAAATATCCACGACCTCCAGCTACTGTACTTCCACGTTCACCGTCGAAACCATCTACCATTATCACTAAATCGACATGAGATAAAGGTTTTCGAAAATCGCTCTTTCCGAAAGTTCGAATAACCAAATTATCTTCCTAGTTAAACGAATATATGCATAAAACAAATATTTCAAATGAACCACTAGTAGTGAAAAATACCATCAACCACGTACATTTACACGATACCGTAACAAGGCAACAATTGTGCAGTTAAATTGATATAGCCAGACAATTCAGTCAGTTTCTCATAGACCGAGCACAAATGTGCAATAGATCAATTTAACACACCTCACGTCAGTACGGGAAAACATATAAAGGTAAAATTAAAAGGGATAGATATAGAAATAGTATACATGAAAGCGGAGAATCAAATGTAAAGAAAATGCTTCAAAATGAAAAGTGGGTAGCGAGAATGAACATTAAAACCCATGACATAAGGAAAGGATTTATGAATACAACTGCACTATGATACCGATTTCGAGCAGTGCCCCGTAAGGTCTTCAGCTCATAAACGGAATTAATTTGCGAACGCGACCTTAACCAAATACATTATTATTATTATTTTAACACATAGATATCGGCACAAGAAGGCGACAAATACATATGCGCCACACATCTCATTTGATATGTGTGAGGGCTGTGATACTGCCCGGGTATTATTATTATTATTATTTTAACACATAGATATCGGTACAAGAAGGCACCAAATATATATGCGCCACACAGATCTCATTTGATATGTGTGAGGGCTGTGATACTGCCCGGGTGCCCAAACCGAACCAGGTGGTTTCTTAGGGGGCCACACCCCGAGCCTTTGACCTGAAGATCTGATCCACAAGGCAGTGGAGCATCGTGAGGAGATGCAGTCCCATGGTAGCCGGTGACCAACGATTGGTTCATACGCCATTTTTTCCCGCAGGATACTGGAGCCCATGTGCACCATTGGTTTGGGGTCCGGTTAAAGCGCCAGACATTCAATATGCTCAACATTAACATTGCTCACTAGGTGGAAGCACGAAACGCGAGTAACGCTTCGTAGATATCTGCGGTCAGAAACCTTCAACCTACGCACGACTTCTACTTTCAAATATAACGTTTGTCAGCAATTAAGTAGGACAGAGTGGACTACGTCGAACGTAACTAATAAAACAACATGACAATAAAAACGTGTAGAGATTATTTAATATGAAATAATTATATTCATAAGAAAATAAGTGTAGTTCTTATGGCGTTGAGAGTTCGTATTTAAGTAGAGTGGATGATATTGATGTTACTGGGATCAATCTACTACTTGAGATGACTGGATAGTTTAGAAAAGTGGACTTAATCGAGTAAAAGGAGCAAGATGGATTACTAAGTTTCTAATTACATCATTGCTAAAGGATTCTCCAATACCTTTGATGGCAAAGGAGTAAGACTGATTCGAAAGAAATATATATAATACACACCAGTATACTGGAAATCGTGTGATGTCAATGAAATTCCCAGAGACTTACGCTTACTTTCACCAAATAATTCTTACGGAAACATTTTTAATTTGCTTAGAAATTACCGTATAACCGTATATTGTCATATTTACTTTCGAGTAGCCATTCAAGTGCTTTATCTTTTAACAATATGAGTAAATTGCCGACACTATATCATTATCATGAATTATGAAACACCAATGACCATATATGAAAGTTTTTTACGTATCACTGATCATCACAAACTATTTTTCTCGTGGTTCGAACAAAATACATGCGTATGTTTTAAATGTTACATTGAGGGATAACAACAAACCAATGGAAAAATGTACGCCCATGTAATGTCCTACGCTATTGACGACCAACTGACTTCAGTAACTAAATTAACGTTGAAGTACTAGGTTGTACTATCAATCCAATGCCAGACAGCTAAAATTATAGCTCGAAATGAGGCTTTTGGAGATAGGAAATGTCAAATTATGATTTTTTATCTATAGATCATATCTAGACCATGAATAAAGGGATTAGGATCGACACACTAACTTTAGTTCTTATCATATAAAACATGGGATTGGCAACCGGATATTATATATTTGTTTTCAGTGGGTTAGCAATGAAAATTTAGACGAAATGTCCGCAATTACTGACATTATCACGGCTTCAACACTGCCGTACTGGCAAGGAGCATGAAAAAGCACTTTTACACATTATCAAGAAAACTAACATTTTTTCGAACAATCAAATCCCAGTAAAACATACCTCATTGTTGCTTATCGGTACGTCTGGGTGTAGGAGATTACCAATTTCATACAATTGCTGCTGTCTTACAGACTCGAACTCAGTTACAAAAACTGCATTTCTTTTTATTTCTTCGTCAATAAGACAGGACAACGACTTTAACTGTGCTACACTCAAGGACTAAGACATAGTAACGACCAACGGTCCTACCTGTAAATCAGCTTCCACAAGGGAGTCGAGGCGATCAAATACATCACCAAACAAATTAGACTCGATATCCGGACTGTCTTTGTTTTCCTAAATGTCAAAATCAAGGCAGTCAGAGTTTACTTTAATCTTCCTAGCAATAGCTTTGCTGCAGAAGTTTTTTACTTTATTTAAATGATCAGCTCTGAAACGTGCTACGAAGTTTGAGTAACCATTTACAGTCTACCTTTCCGCCAATTCTCATCCGCCTCTAGTACCAAATCGACACGTTTGGTACCTCTGAATCTTTTGATCTCATTGGAACGAATAAGTTCAGGATCACCTCCTTTATCGACTCTGAAAAGATCCAAGTCTAACACCATGATGGTAACGTTAAACACTAAAGCACCGCTTCTAGATCTCAAGGTCGGGGAATCATTTTCAAAATCACTTATAATACTTTTCAGAATCCTTGCATCTCATTAATATACGGTTCGTTTTATTCCTGAAAATGTTAAATGATGAGGCTGACAACATTTTCCTAGCTTTGAGGTGTTTGATAGCCATATGGAGACCGAATTCGACACGTTTGGTCTGCCTAGGTTTTTTTAATTTTTAAGAGATTTTGGAAGTACTAAGAATAGATGAATATGACATTCCAAATAATTATTCAACACGCAAAGTCCTTATTTGAGACCACGTAGCGTTCTTTGATAAGGAAGAAGCTCTCAACGTTTCAGTCACAGTACATGGAATGTAGGGAAGTCACAATTGACTGATCACTAGGTGGTGATCAACGTCATGTGTGACAAGTTCTTATCAGTGCAGATCGAACGCTATCAGCCAAGTTGCAATGTGGCCACCAGTCTAGGTAACTCGACACTGTGTGCACTATGTTGAGATTAGATGGTGGTTGGATGTAGTAGACAGGAAACCCTGGATCTGATCTAATCTCAACATAGTGCACGCAGTGTCGAGTCACCTAGACTGGTGGCCACATTGCAACATGATCGATGGCATCCGATCTGCACTAATAATAAGGACTAGAAACGCATGACATTGGTCACCACCCAGTGGTCAATCAATTGTGATTATGTCTCAGTCCTACAGGAGGTCGGTCGCGGCCCGGATAGCTCAGTGGTAACGTCTCTGACTGTGAAGCTGGGTGATACATGATCGAATCCTCCGGGGAGCACCAGTTCCCTCAAAGATTACAGGTACGCCTTGCTGACGAGTGCCAAGTAGCACGAAACCCGGGTCCAGGGTTTCCTGTCGACTACCTCCAGCCACCATCTAATCTCAATGTATGGAAGTCCAATCAGAAGCTTGGTATCTTCTGTTCAGTCACTGTTAAAATTGCTTAATTGGTTCAAACTGTTGTGGACGGAATAGAAGAAGCTTTCACTTAACGGGCTTCTGTGTCTAGTAGCAGTGGATCACCAATACCTCCAGCCAAGAACCTAAGTATATTAACGACAATAGGGGGGACGAAAGAAATTGGTGAATCATAATACGACTTTATCTTTAGTTCTTAAGAATAGGTCAAAATTCCCGTCAGAGGACTCTTGAGAAATCGCTTGGACTAGTTCAGTTGGCAGCAAATTCCAGCATTTGACAACTCTTAAGGAGTAGAAGTTGTGTATATAGTCCGTTCTGCTATGTTGTATCTCCGATTTCTGGGTGTTACCCCTTAGGTTTATATTGGGACTAGGCTTAAATATGTGTTTAAGGCGATGTCCAGAAGTGTTAAGTATACTGTAAGCCATCAGAAAATCACCTCTAAGACGTCTATACTCTGATGGGTAATGGTTAAGTGACTGGAGGCGCTCTTCATAAGGTTTGAATTTGAGTCCCCGGACTGATTTCGTGGCTCTCCAGTGGATACTCTTTAGAGTGTCCTTATCCTTTTGAACTGTGGGAGGAAATACCATGTTCCCGCTTTCTAAATGGGAACGAATAAAACTGTTAAAGAATATAAGGAAAGTTTTTACGTAGAACTGGCTAAAAATGCGTTTCAGTGTTGTGTGGGCCCAGAATAAGATATGGACTAGGTGCTTGAACTTAGAACAAGATTCAAGTTCTGACATATTCGGTTGCGTAACTAGTAAAACAGTACATTACCCATTTGGTCATTATTTTTCACTGACTTCGATTTACAACTGATGTTCTCAAATGTAACCCAGTGAATTGGCTCAACACACTGCAAGAAAAGAGTGAATGATCTTGAAGTTCGGATATAATCTGTCATGGTTTGGGACCTACATCCGTGATAAACCATATTTCCGTGGTAAAAAATATGAAAGGTTAGGTTCATGAGTTTGGTTCCCCTGCTTCCAAAAAACCCAAGAATATTGTTTATCTGGTTATGTAATCAACGTTTTAGCGAAGAAAGAGCCGTTTCTTTGTTTGTAAGATCGTAAAATCTATATTCAGACTAGGAACCTTGTTGATAATTTTTTTAACGCCTCCATCATTTTATTAGGCACTAGTTACAAGATCCTGATGTGTTAGGTTTTATTACTTACCTGTGTAACGAACATGATCAACTTGGAACACCAACTGCACTTCTCAGAAGAGAATGGGGGAGAACGGAAATGGGTATCCTAAGACCTTGCATTTCGAATGTAACTCTCGACCCATCCATATTCCACCTGATAAGAAAAGAGAAACAAATGCTTTTAATGGCGTCTGAGTATTTTCGGAAATATCTCTAGTGACTTTTTGAACTTGGTTACGACGACATTGTCCCCTGCCTTTACTTTTACGCTGATGTCATCACTCATGTCCTGATTTTTGGTATCATTATTATTAATCTCTGAAATTCGATTTTCGGCAATACACTCAAGCAACACGCCAGGAAAGAAAAACTATGAGCATCGGATCAACAATGCAGACATAAGTAAAGGCTGCTGTTACAATGACTATCTTCCTTTGCCTTCATTGCTGTGAATGGATGAAAAAGCTAGGTCATCTTTGAAGTCCAAATCGTCCAGGTGCATCCAACATGTCTATTGTATTCCGTTCTACCCCTCGGATGTGGAGGGCTTCATAATCCAGTAATCCACCAGAAGCAAAGCTGTCTAAATCCAGTCGTCACTTGAAATGCGTCAGCCAGCTATCTTCCATCCAGGACTTTGAACTGTAGTCCGTCGTATGAATTCTGTATTGTATTGATGATTTCCTCAGGCACACCATAGCGTCGAAGACGTTTCCGTGCGAATCTTAAACTCACGTTATCGAATACTTTCTCACAGCCAAGCAAGTTGATGTACAGTGACAAGATGCATTCGATTGGTCGTTCAACAGTGATCCATAGACTTCCAAGTGGTGAATCAACAACTCTCATGGCAGAGATTAGATCAAATAGATAAACGTTTGCTAAGCGTCTGTTACGTAACTTTGTTTCATGCAAAACGAAACTTTTAACCACACACCCAACACATTTTCTGTATCTGGGCTTGCCGTTAGCAGTTGTGGAGGCAGCCACAACAAAGCATTCTTGGTCTACTTTAACTAAAAGTACTTTGGTAAGGTTTGAAATTTTTGCCAAACTTTGTCCTGTGGTACCTTTCTTGCTTACTCATTGACTGACACTCGTGTTCACGTTGTGATCATAGTGTGTTTTAGGCGTTTTAAATCAAATTACAATGGTTTGTAAGACTTATAAATGTGGACAACCAGACTGCTTGTTCCGCGTTGAGAAAGGAATGCAGTGCTGTGAATCTAAAAAGTGGTACCATAAGATGTGTACAAGTCTAAGTTCTACGGCCTACAAAAGATTCTCGAAGCCAAACTCGCATTGGCTTTGTATGTTTTGCTGTACAAATAAAAAGTTACTAATCCAGGAGGCTATGAACCTATTGGCTTTGGCCTGTAAGAAAAACGATGGCGGTTGTCCTGACACCACGAGCACTGACAGCGAAGAAAGTGTCAGTGTATTACGTGCTGCTGCCGGACCCGTTAAACACCCGAATGTGATTGATGGAATAGTAAAAACACCGTTAACATTAACGAGAAGCGAAGTGCCACTTGGTATTGATATTGGAAATCATACACCTTTAGTGGAAATTGAAGAACCGGATAACACTGTCATCGTTCCAAATAGTCCCAGTGTGGCTGTCCTGAGTGAGGATAAAAGGACTTCAGCACGGAGAAAAAGAAATGCGAAGAAAAAAGCTGTAGGCGAACCGCAGCTGGTCAGCAAGTCATTGGAAGAGACGGTATCAGAAACGAAAATTCCACTGCGTGTCAAGACAAATCTCTCTGAGAGGTCAGTCATTTTTCATAAGTTAAGAGAATCTTCCGATAAGGAACCAAAGGCTAGATTTGAACACGACTTCAGTCACATTAAGTCTTTAATAAGCAAACTACTCCCAGATACAGTTTCAGGAGTTAGCATTTGTAAGCTTTGTCGAACAGGACGAAAGGTGGATTCGGAAAGCCCTCAGAAAAACCGCCTCTTGAAGGTTACATTTTCCACGGTTGAAGAAAGGAACCTGATTCTAGATAACTCACGTAAACCGATTGGATCCGGAATATTTGTCCGTGAGGATCTCAGCCTAGCTGATCGTATTAAGAGACGAGCTGCAGAAGTGGAAATAAATGAGCGTAAAAGTTCGGAGTAAAAACGATCCTCAAACTACTCTGAGTGGCAAGGGAAAGTTCTTCATAGACTTCAAAGTATGCTACACAAATTCTCGCAGCCTACTAAATAAAATGGCGGAGCTTAAGTCAATGGTGGATAAAGAAAAACCGGATGTTATTGCTGTCTCAGAAACTTGGTTAACGTCGGAAGTATTAGATAATGAAATTCGGTTAACTAGTTATTCATCCAGTAAGGCTGATAGAATAAATTGTAAGGGAGGCGGGGTAATCCTGTACGCGAAAACTACCTTAACCATAAGAGTAGCTGAGACGGTGGCACATGTATCAGGGAAATGTGAACCTGTGCGATGTAGGCTGAAGTGTGGACGGCAAAATATTGAGTTAATTGTAGTATATCGCAGTCCAGAATGTGTGGTAGATGATTTTTTCCTAAGTAAACTAAAGTCCTGGTGTAACAAGGGTGGCTGATATTGCCTTCCAAACAGTTGCGCCGACCCGTCCTAACATATGGAAGGCAGATTGGGAGGCCATCAACTCTGCAGCATCGGCTGAAAACTGTGAAATTGTCTCAACGGCATTAGTACAAAAGGCATGGACGCATTTCAGGCAGTTATAGAACCGGGTAACTTAACCATACATACCCTGGACAGTCCCAAAGACGAAGAAGCACGGACACCTCTGGATAGGCAAGGATATTCGACGTTTACTAAGACAAAAGAAGAAATGTTGGGATGTCGCCATCTGCCTTGGAACAGCATTTACGATGGAACGCTACATATCGGTAAGAAACAAGTGTATAACGAAAATTCGAGAAGCTCAAAGAAAA